GTTTTTTGAATATATCATCCCATTCATTTCTAGCTTTTAGGGTTTGTGCTGAGAAGTCTGATGTTAACCTCATTGGGGCTCCCGTATAGGTGATTTGATACTTCTCTCTTGCAGCTTTTAAGATTCTTTGTCTTTGAGTTTTGCCATTTTTACTATAACATGTCTTGCGAAGCCCTTTTTGGGTTGAATATGTTTGAGGATCGTTGAGCTTCCTGGATTTGAAGATCTGTGATTTTTTTCTATGCCTGGGAAGTTTTCTGCCACTATTTTGTTGAATATGTTTTCAATACATTCTCCTTTTTCCTCCCCTTCTGGAATACCCATGACTCGGATATTTGAGCGCTTAAGGTTGTCTAATATCTCTCTCAGATTTTCTTCAATATCTTTGATACTTTTTTCTTTTTTCTTGTCTGCTTGTGTTATTCCAAACAGCCCATCTTGAAGTACAGAGGTTCTCTCTTCAACTTCCACAAGGCTGCTGGTTAAACTCTCCATTTTGTTTTTTATTTCGCTGAATAACTTCCTCAGTTCGGCAAGTTCTGCTACATTTTTTTTTATGACAGTGATTTCCTTGTACATTTCCTCTTTCAGGTCCTGTATGTTTTTCCTGATTTATTTTTTTATTTCCTGTTTGATTTCTTCTTGGACCCATGTGTCGTTAAGAAGAATGTTGTTTAATTTCCATGTGTTTGTATACTTTCCAGAGTTTTGTTTATTATTGATTTCTAGTTTTAATCCATTGTGGTCTGAGAAAATACATGGGATAATTCCAATTTTTTTGAATTTGTTGAGACTTGATTTGTGTCCTAATATGTGATCTATCCTGGAGAATGATCCATGTGCTGATGAGAAGAATGAATATTCTGAGGTAATTGGATGGAATGTTCTGTAGATATCTGCCAAGTCCAATTGGTCTAAAGTATTGTTAAGATCTTGTGCTTCTCTGCTAATTCTTTGCCTAGTTGATCTGTCCAATATTGACAGTGGGGTGTTCAGGTCCCCTGCTATTATAGTATTAGTGTCTATTTCCTTTTTTAGGTCTAATAGAGTTTGTTTTATAAATCTGGCTGCTCCAACATTGGGTGCATACATATTTATGACTGTTATGTCTTCTTGATGCATCAGTCCTTTTATCATTATGTAGTGTCCCTCATTGTCTCTTTTTAATGGTTTTTAGTTTAAAGTCTACTTGGTCAGATATGAGTATAGCTACTCCAGCTCATTTTT